ACAAACAAACAAGCAAATAAAACAAGCAAATAAAAAACAAAACAGGCAAACGAATAGAAAAAAAAACAAACAAAGAACAAACAAAGAAAACAAACAAAACAACCAGCGCATAGAAAGCGAAAGGAAACACAAAAAAACAAAACAAACAAATAGAAAACAAAAACAAACAAATAAACAAACAGAGAACAAACAAAACAAATAAACGGAGCAAGAAAAACAAAACAAACAAAATATGCAATCAAACAACCGAAAAAGAAGAGAAAGAAACAATAATCTGCATGCATCAAAAAGATAAGATATCTGCTTACTTCCTTGACTCCGCAGGAGACATAGGGGACAGTTAGCTGCAGCAGCAGAAGCAGCAACAGGGCGTGGAGGAGCAGCAGCAGGAGCAGCAGGAGCAGCAGCAAAAAGCAGCGCAGCTGCAGCTGCGACTGTTATAATATTCATCATGTTGAGTATTAAAATGTCTGAGTAAAGAAAAGCAAAAGCAGAAGAAGAAAATAATATTAGAGAATGAAGCAAAACATATAAAGAAAGAAACAAACAAAAAAAGAGAGAGAGACAACACTAATAAACAAATAATATACTTTAAATAACCAAGACATACAAAACAAAAGAATCTCAAGGAGAGCAAGCTGCGAAAAAGGAATACTTATTTACATATTAGAGTCATTCTAATGATTAAAATAGATAAAAATCAAACAAAAAAACAAACTCAATATAAGCTTTTTGAGGTGTATATACACCTCTGGTGTATATACAGCTGCTGCACCGCTTTGCTGTTATATAGACATTTATTTATTTTCTTCTATTAATGCTGGAAATATTGTTGTTTAATGCTGCAGTAGAAGAGTAGAAGAAGAAAGGAGACGAGTTATTGGGGTGTATACGCAGCTCTGCATTAATAACACTGAGTAGCAGCAAGAGAAAGATAAAAGAAGAATAAAATAGAATAAAAATAAAACAAAGAAGATTCTTACCTTGAGTATGCTGTCTGTACGATATATATATTTGTATTTTATTCCTTAAATTCAATATTATTATTATTTAAACATAAATATATAAATAGAAGAATAAAAACAGAGAGGCGGCTGTCTACCGCTGTTTAGCTGTGTACATACACCTCAAAGATAAGAAAAGATACAACATAAAAGACATATATATTAAAAGAAGATATTGCATGCATGCAAACAAAGAAAACAATCATTTATATTGTACACAACTTCTTCTATCTCCAGCAGCAGCAGCAGCAGCAAGCTAAACAAAGAGAGACAAGGAGACAGCAGCAGCAGCAGCAGCTGCTGCTGCTGCTGCTTACGCAATATAGAGGAGCGTGTTGCTGCTGCTTGTCTATATTTCTTTCTTACAACCCCCCCAGAGCTTGTCTTTTCTTTTATTATAATTAATATTAAGTATTTAAATGCATTATTTATCAAAGCAGCTAGTTTGCTGCTGCTGCAGCACAGACATCTGCGCAGCCTTCTTCAGCCTACGGGGGGCCCCCCTTCTCCCTAAGGCAACGCCAGTTGTCTCTTTGTTTATAACTTCTCATTTTAAAGGGCTGCTGCTGCTGCTGCTGCTGCTGCGACTTGAATGATATATCATTTAAACTTGATTTTCTTCTGTTGTAGATATAAGCTAAATTCTCAGCTTAACCCGCAGGCTCCCCCCCTGTTTCTTGCTGCGGGTTTAGGGTTTAGGGTTTAGGGTTTATGGTTTAGGGTTTAGGGTTTAGGGTTTAAAACCCATATGCGGGGGTATATTTGAAGCGAGCAGCAGCAAAAAGACCGGCTGCTAGCATGCAGTGCAGTGCTGCGAACCTGACGTAGCAGCAGCAGCAGCAGCAGCAACAGCAGCAGCAGCTGCAGCAGCAATATAGTGGTATCTCAATATTTGCTTCCCCACTCATTTATAGCTAAGATGAATTCGAGTCTCTTCGGCTTCTCCACGGGGCTGCAGCAGCAGCAGCAACAACAGCAGCAGCAACAGCAGCAGCAGCAGAACGCTGCAGCAGGTAGGTTCCCGCCCCCTCTTACTTTGAATATCAAGAAGAATTTTTTAGGGTCTCTTCAGGGCTCTGCATGAGTATCTGCAGTGCCTAGCTAAGGTTTAGGGTTTAGGGTTTAGGGTTTAGGGTGTTTGCTTTGCTCAGCCGCACAGGAGCTGCCTATACACCAGAAGAACTACCTTGTCTCGCTGCAGTCCAGGCTGCAGCGGGTAGAGCAGCTGCTGAAGGATGAGACGCCAGCAGCATTAGGGTTTTCTTATGATCTCGATAGCAGCAGCAGCAGCAACAACAACAACAACAACGCAGGCCTCACACGAGCGCAGCAGCAAAACCTGCAAATGGAGCAGCAGGTGCAGCAGCTAGCAGCAGCAAACCCGCAGCAAGGTCAAGAACTTCTTTCTCGCTGGCAGAGAGCAGTCTACAGAAACCCTGACCGCCAGGCGGGTGCGTCTAGGGTTTAGGGTTTAGGGTTTAGGGTTTAGAGTAGATGCAGCAGCAGCAGCAGTTGTAGGAGAGGTTTCTGCGCAGTCAGTGCCGCATTCAACAACTCTTCCTTATATGCTCCTGCTTCTTTTGTTGCTGCTGTTGTTGCTGCTGTTGCTGTTGCTGCTGCTGCTCTTGCCGCTGCTGTTGTTGCTACTATTGCTCTTGCTGCTGCTGCTCTTGCCTCTGCTGCTCTTGCTGTTGCTGCTGCTCTTGCTGCTGCTGCTGCTGCTGCTGCTGCAGGGGTGGTGGTGCCTGTCGTGGGGCTGCAGGGTTTAGCAGCGCGCATTTCAGGTGCAGGTGAGAGGATGGAGACAATTGTACAAGCAGCAGCAGCAACAGCAAGAGACACAGAGAAGCTTGCCGCCAAGTACAAGCAAATGAAGGCAGCAGTAAGAGGAACTGCTGCTGCTGCTGCTGCTGCTGCTGCTGCTGCTGCTGCTGTTGCGCTGCTGTTGTGCTGCTGTTGGTCCCACTGCTGCTGCTTCACTCGCAGCTGCTGCTGCTGCTACGGCTGCTGCTCCCACTCATGCGGAAGGTGTTTCTGCTGCTACTGCTGCTTCTACTGCTGTTGCTGCTGCTGCTGCTGCATCGGCTGAGGCCGCCTTCTTTTGTCTTTTAAGGTGCTGCGCTGCTGCTGATGTTGATAACTCCTGAAGGCACTGGATGACGTGACGAATTGTTGCTGCTGCTGCTGCTGCGGCTACGGCTGCTGCCGATGGCAGTGTTGCTGCTGCTGCTGCTGAGTTATGGAGCCTGTTGAGGGTTGTTCTACTTGCTGCGTTGCTGTTGCGTTTGCTGCTGCTGCATGCGCTGTGGTGCTGCTGTCGACTGTGGGGCTGCATGCGTTTGCCGCCGCTGCTGCTGCTGCTGCTGCAGTTGGTGAGGATTAAAAAGAGACACGCGGTCTTAGGCCACAGCCTCATCAGGACAGTTGGATTGCTGGAAGGTGCGTTCTGCTGCTGCTGCTGCTGCTGGGGTTCTGCTGCTGCTGTTGCTGCTACGGGCCCTTCTGCTGCTGCTGGTGCTGTTGCTGTCCCTGCTCGGTAGAAAGAGTGATTTAGAGCAATTTGGCGCTGCTGCTGCTGCTTGTGAAGGGGCCTTCTTCAATGTCTCGGTTCTAGGCACTGTCGCCGTTGTTGCAGCAGCTGCTGCGGTTGTTGTTGCTGCTATTGCTGCTGCTGCCGCTGCTGTTGCTGCTGCTGCTGCAGGATTGGCTGTTAGCCGCGGTGTCTGTGAGGCAAACCCGCGTTGCGAGGCAGCAAATGAGCAGCTACTGATGCGTATTCAGGTAAGCAGCGTTCAGTGCAGCAGCAGCAGCAGCAGCAGCAACAGCAACAGCAGCGGCAGCAGTAGCAGATCTTCCTATGCCTGCAACGGATTTCAGCGCACTTCTTCGTTGTGTTTGCTGCCATTTTCTGTTCAGTAGTGGCTACAGTGTTAAATTGCTTGTTTTCTGCTGTTGCTGCTGCTGCTGCTGCTACCGCTGCTGCTGCTGCTGCTGCTGCTTATTTCTGTTTGCTGCAGGAGAAGTTTCAGTGGGCAGACTGGCAGCAGCGGATAGACGGCTTGCGTGTGTGGCTGGCGAGTTTGCAGCAGCAGCAGCCGGAGAGCAGCAGCAATAGCAACAGCAACAGCAGCAGCAGCGGCAGCAGCGAGGAGCAGCAGCCGGTGGTAGCGCCCGCTCTGCTGCGGCTGCTTACTGTTCAAGCGGAGACGGTGCAGCAGCTGCTGCAGTCGCTCGCAAACACAGAAGCACACGTCTCTCGACTCCAGGCTTCAGTTATAGCTGCACGCACCAGGACAAAATAACGCCCTCAACACAGCAGCAGCAGCAGCAGCAGCAACAGCAGCAACAGCAGCAACAGCAGCAGCAAGGGGGGGCCTTCTTTCCCCCCTTGGGGCCCCTTTGCATTCAGACAGCCTCCAGCTGAATTTGCAGCAGCTCAGCAGCAGATGAAGGGGCCCCCCTTTGGGGGCCCCCACCCCTTGGTTATATTTAGAATTCATCCATCTGAATATAGAGAGCTCCTTTCGATTGGTGATGGGGGCCCCCACGGAGTTGCGTGGAGGCCCTCCTTAGGGGGCCCCCTGAGGGTACAAGGGGGCCCCTTGAGGGTACAAGGAGGCCCCCTGGGGGCCCCCATGTGCCGCAGTTCATAGCGCAGCATTCGTTTATTTTGCTGTTAGGGGGCCCAGGGGCCCCTAGGGATATTTGGGGGCCCCAGCGGGCCCCAGAGGAGAGGTTTAAAGGATGCCGAGTGTTTTGCTGAGCTTCTTGTCAGTCTTCTTGACTCCTTGTCCTGCAGCAGCAGTTGTATCAGCTGCAGCAGCAGCAGCGGCAACTGCTGCTGCTGCTGCAATTGCAGTTGCTGCTGCGGAATGTGCACTTGTTCGGGGGGAGGGAGCGACATCTATTGTTGTTTTCTCTGGCGATTAGATTAAAGAAGTAAAGGGATTTGTCTTCGTTATATTTTCGCGCATGCAAGGGGCCCCTCCACAGACAGATGGATGGGGCTGCAGCTGAGCCTGTGAGATCAGCTCTTAGTAACGCTTTTTAGGGGCCTTCTTTACTTCTAATGGGGCCTCATAGAGGGCCCAGCAAACTCCAACTCCCCAAAAGGGTCCGAATTAGCTGTTTCACAAGGGGCCTCTGAGGGGCCCGCTCTGAGGGCCCCGCTGAGGGGCCCCCTTTGAGGGCCCTGCTGAGGAGCCCCCTTGCGGGCCCTCCTAGGGGCCTCCCTGAGGGGCCCCTGATGGGGCCCTCTTAGGGGGCCCTCCTAGGGGCCTCCCTGGGGGCCCTCCTAGGGGCCTCCCTGAGGGGCCCCTGATGGGCCCTCTTAGGGGCCCAACTTGAGGGGCCCCCTTGAGGGGACTCATTTGCATTGTGTTGCATTTGGGGCCTTTTGAGGGGTTGAAATTTGCTGTGGGCGGACATGGGGTGTTAAGAAACGTATTTAGGGTTTAGGGTTTAGGGTTTAGGGTTTAGTTGTTTCCGTTTTAATGGCAGTAGCAGCCCCATAGAATGCAGTAGCAAGACATTGCTAAAGGGCTACAGTTTCTTTCTGCTGTTCTGCTTCTGGGGGATGCATGCATTCCTCGCCTTTCGTGAGTTTCAACTGTACGTACACCTGAGCAGCTGCCTCTCCCCCCCGTGCCATGGAGCGCCAGACCCCACAGCAGCAGCAGCAACAACAGCAGCAGCAACAGCAGCAGCAGCAACAGTGTCAGTGCACGAATATATATCCTCAACGGGAATGAGCTGGGGTATATATAGAGGGCGTCCTGTAGGAATATAGTAATGTGAAGCCTTTACTTAGACTTCATTCAAACACATTTATATCTATCTTTATATCTATATATATTTATATTTTAATGCTATTCTCCTCTGCCACAGCGGGGCTTCTGCATGCGTACGAAGCACTTTTAAATCTTTTAAGGGTATTCTTCTTCCTGCTGAGTAGAGAAACCCCACGAGTGAAGCTCTCAGTCGGGTGGCTGGAGATGCATGCATGCATGCATGCTTTTGGTGCTGCTGCTGTTGCTGCTGCTGCTGGTGTAGAGCAGCAGTGAAACAGAACAAAGAGAAGAACAGAGCACAACAGTCCCACCCCCACCCCCGCTGCAGCAGCGGAAGGCTGAGTCTTGAGACCTAGAAGGGCCCCCAGAGGGGGACAGCTAGCTAGGGTTTAGGGTTTAGGGTTTAGGAGGAGTACAGAAAGGAGGCCCTTCTTCTTGCATCTCCGCCTCCACGCACAGACCCTAGTAACCCCCCTGAAGCTGCACAGTATATATATCTATATGCATACATACATACATATATATATATATATATATATATATATATACGCAGCCCTTGCTGCCATAAGATGCTGTTGTTCAAGGTACGGGGACTCCACCGGCGTCTCTTTATTTTAATTTATTTTGCGGGTTGTTTCTGTGTTGAGGGTTTAGACCATGTGGAGTGTCTGTACATTTCTTGCAAGAGTGCATGCATTTGATTTAATGGAGATGATGCATACAGCCCAATTGAGAGGCTTTTTCTTTTTATGTTTGTTTATATAGGGGAGGAGTCTTTATATGCTGTGCTCTATTCACCTTATTGTACGCCTTTGT